CATAAATTCAAAACCAAGAACAAAAATCAAAGGCGCTGAATCTAGGGTTGATATTTGAGTTTGACGAGGTTAAAATTGCATAAAATTAAAAGATCAGAGTCATTTAGAGATGTAATTAAAAGAAATTAAAATTCAAAATACTAAATTAAACTTTAGTTAAATCCCTAATTAAAATCTTAAAAACATCAAAATGATGTCATTTTATTTAAATGAAACGATATGTTTTGATCAAAGTGGTTTGTTTTGGTACAAAACGAGGTTGTCTTGTCATCTAGCAACTGTTTATCATCTTCAACCTTTTGTACCTAAAAAACTACTCAAGTGACTACTTTTCAAGAGCATTTAATGCCTCATTTCTCCATCAAACCAGACAAACAAGCCACCACTTTGATGGCCTGACATTATACTACACCCCATCGTAATTTTTGCTGGCTACTTGCCTTTGCAACCACTGCGGCACCTTTAAAAAGGCTAACCCAATTAGCCTTTAGCAACCAAATATTTGTAGTTCATAATGATGACTTTGAGGTAATAATTGAGACTCATCTCGTTTGAATAAAAATCCAAAATTTGTCTTTAATAAAGACAAGATGTCCCTCTTTTACCCCTTATAAACAGGGGTGAATTTTGGGCACTAGATAACAAGAAAAAAGATTGAAAAGTGAGTAAAAAACTATTTTTTTTTTTTGCAATTTCATATGTAAGCCTTATTCTATACCCTCACCAATACCAATCTCATTCACCAACATCTGTACATCTCCTTCACTAACTCATCATCTCCATCGCAAGCTTCTTCCTTTTCCTTTATACAATAACCTCCAATAATGGTGTCATGAGTAACTCTAGCAGTACCTCAGCTACGCCAATAATGATAACGACGCTTCTCCACTATGGCAGGTAACCACCCCCTTCCTCCTATAATTTCTTCTCTTATATGCATGCAGGACGTGAATTAATTCAGGTCCTGCAACTGTTGGGTTGAGCTTGAGCAGAGGCAAAGATAAGCTGAACCCATTTCAGCCTAGCTTGTATAGTTAGGCTAGGTCCAGCCCATTCTAAAAAAGGGTTGTCGGGCCATTAGTCGATGTAATCGAGCTAAGCTTGGGCTTTGAGCGCAAACAACCCATCCAAAATAATAATAATAATAATAATAATAATAAAGCTAAAAATTTTTAAGGACCTCTTTAAAGTCATTTGTAGGCCCGTCACATATTTTTCCAACAATTTTGTCTAATATCAGGTTATAAACTTACACTGTAAAATATAGATTCGATATAAAAATATCTTATTTTTCTCTGAAATCTTAAAAATGAACTTCCATTTCAAAAAAAAATAAAATTATTTTCATACATAAATTAAATCCTAAAGCATTTTCACGAATATTTTCTAAAAAGGATAAAATCACATTTTTATCATGTTTTAAAAATGCAAAATAGATATCATAACTGATTTATGATTATCTATTAGGGTTTGAATAAAATATAAAAAATCCCATAACAATTAGTTTGTTATTTGGAGCGTTAGAATTTAGCTGTAGATTTTAATATTTAGAAGTACAAAATTACACTGTAAAGTATTCCCTCAATTCTTAAAGATACAAAATAAAAAATAAATGCGATGCTAAATTTGGGATTTAGAATGATTAGGATGTTATCCAATAAGGTAGGACTTCCTCACGAAGAGATATCTGCTTTGAAATTTAAATAAGACCAATAGATAGAGACATGACCTAGAAAAAAAAACAACAATCAACAATGCAGCTTACCTCAGGTAAATTATATTGGGGGTGATACATCTTTCATTTGCATAATTAGTCCCTTTACATAGATTCTCACAAACCATTAGGTTTTCTAGTGATCATAATATTAGTTGACGATTCTTGAACCCTATAATAATAACTTTATGATTAAACCCAAAACCTACTCTTCAATTCTAAAAGGCAACTTTACAATGCGATGACGTGCATGTCATGACACCACATATAATAGAAAATCCAAAGCTAACTAGGAATCCATAAAATACATAGAAACATCACATAACAAGGTTGGTCGGAACTGATACAAAATTGGTAACCTTGTTGTTGAAACTTCATGGCCCAAATAAAGGTAGATTAAACCCCTCTTGCACATAGATTAAATGTATTAAGGCCTACTGTTGATGCTTCAAAGGATACCCAAGTTCAGCCTTAGTCGAAATCCAAAACTTACTTAACCAGCCCATTCATTACCTTTACTTTGAACCTTGTGATGAGCCAATTTAAAACGTGTAATAGGTCATTGATGTTTGTGGGCTGATCCATATTAATTTTTTTTACTAGTGGTTTATATGGATTACCGTTAGAGGCTAGACACTTGAATAATTTGTGGTTTACGACAACTCAACCTTGAAGTAATTATTTAAAGTTGACAAGAACATATAATATTTAGGTAATCTTCATATAACTCAAAACAATTCTAAATCTGTCTAATAAAATCTTGGGATTCTTGAAGATTTTTTAAATTTATCGTTTTTTACTAGGTATATGTGTTTTGAGAAATTCAATAATGCATCATTCCTCACAAGTCACAAATAAGTCATAAACATTTTTACGAAAACTTATTTTAGATTTGACCCGATCCAAGTCTTGAGGAGGGGCAACCCGTAAACTGACTGATTAATCCATGTTTTTATTTTTTTTAATATAAAATAATATCATTTTAATAAGAAATAATCCAATTCAAAATAAAACTCATCTCTAGCCAGGTTTAGGTCAACAAATTGTAGGATTGACCAATTGAATTGATCGGGTTTTAAGTGCTCTTTGGAATTGCATTCCAAACGATATTTCATGAAAATTTGTAAAAAAATTCTTAATTTTTTTTTTTTAATATTTTCGGGCTATTTTGATGTGCTAATGTTAATATTATTTTTTTTAAATAAAAAAATATTTTGATGTATTTCTTAATAAAAAACACTTTAAAAAATAACCGCTACCATATTTTCAAACACTTTCTTAAGTTTTGTTTATTTTTGTGATGTGATGTGATATAATATATATTTTTAAATTATAAATTTTAAAAGCGTCTAATAAATCAATATTTATCATAGTTTTGCATATGATACTATCACTTGAAACTTTAATTAAAAAAATATGATTTTTAATTTTTAAAAAATCCTAACCACAAAAGACAATCAGACGAAAAAGAAAAAACAAGCGACAAAACCCCTCGAACACCTTCGACTTGATATAAGAATTACAGCTAACATCTCGTGTCGTGTGTGCGAGCTACCTTCTATCCTCCGCTCTCTTGCTGCACTTGAGGCTGAAACACCGTTTTAGCAATAAAAAAGTATAAACCATACACAGAGAAAAGAGTGAGAGATTTACTGAATCTGTGTTCATTGTTGCTAAGAACTGAAGGGCAGAAAAAACTAAAAAATGGCAATGCCTGGGTATCTTTTTAGGTTCTCTACAAATGCAGCATTAATGAGTTCCAATCTCCCTTTTGGAAGCTCCATTTCTTCATCCTCCAAGGTTGGATCCTTTTCCCATTCTTTTTATTTTTTCTTTCTAGCTTTCTTAAATTTACAGTTTCATGCGAAATGGTGAATGCTTATGTTTGATTTTGTGCATACCATCTGTAGTACTTGTTAGTAGAAACAGCCTAATAGAGTACCAATAAGGTCTAAGAAGACACCTCAAGGAGCCTTCTAGGGTTTTGCTTGGCTTCAGTTAATACATTCCCCATTTCCAAATTGGGTTTTTGATTTTACACTCATATGGCTATTTAAATTCTTTATTTTCTTTCTATCATTTTGTGTAGTCTTTGTTTGGATTTTGGAATGTGTTGCTAGAAAACAGAATAAGCTCCCAAATTGTCTCCCTTTCTTGCATTCATTCCTACAACTAATTGCAGGCTAATTATTCCTATAATGAAATTTATGATTGCAATTATCCATTCATACTGCAATATTCTCTCCACTGTTGTGAGTACCACCACTACTGCTGGTGCTACCATCAGCATAGGAATTGTGTCCTTTTCTACTAGTTAGTTGGCATTACTTTGCATAGGAATATAGGAACCATGTTTTATATTTTCAATGCAGCAAGTAGCACTGAGCTCTATCCAGCACACCTATTAATGTCACTTCTATAAAGCATATGGCCAAATGGTGCTCTGTTGTAGCATATACTTCGCTTTCATAACATGAATCTTGGACCTTTACTGTTGTTGTATTTGCCTTTGATCGATCAGTTTAATCTGGACTAATGTCATGCCCTTGAGATGCTTATGGTGAGGAGTGTAGAAATAAACAAAATGAACGGCAGATGGATAATCTATGAGTCTTTATTTTAATACCTGATTGCTTCTTGCAGGTAGGATTTAAGGGTCACACTTGTGTAGGATATACTAGCTCGTCCTCCAGTGACACCAAGTGTTATCGCAACCAGTCTTTTGGGATTACTGGGCACAATGAGCTCATTACTGAATCTGTAAGGCAAGAGGCTGAGGGCTTTCTCCTTAATGCTATGAACATGAGCTTCTTTGAGCGTCTAAATTTGGCATGGAAGATATTGTTCCCATCTTTTGCAACAAGAAGCAAGTCAAATGCAAACATTGCCAAGCAACGGTTGAAGATGATTCTCTTCTCTGATAGATGTGCAGTCACTGATGAGGCAAAACAGAAGATTGTGAGTAACGTTATGAATACTCTATCCGATTTTGTGGAGATAGACTCACAGGATAAAGTCCAGCTTAGTGTCTCAACAGATTCAGATTTGGGGACCATCTACTCTATCACAGTTCCAGTCCGGCGTGTTAAGCCTGGGTATCATGATGAGGAAGATCTTGAGGCTAATATTCAGTACAAGGGCACCTGAGAAAGATCTGGCTCTCTTGATGTTCAGTGTTCTACATTCCAGACGAGAAATATCAGTAAAATCTATTTGTTTGATTTCTTCTTGCTAATGTCACAAGTAGTGATTTAATCCTGTCTATGCTTGTGTGGGAAACAGTGTTTTTGTAGATAGACCAATTTTGTTTGATTAATTTTTGGATAATATACTGTTAGGGAACTAGCAAGTTATTGCCAAATGAGAATATCTGCCGTAAAGTAGAGGCCATAGCCTCTCGGCACATCGTTGAACCTTCTTTCTTTGCTTCTTTTTTTATTTACAAGACATTATCAGACACCATTTGTTAGCATGCAGAATGACTTGATGAAAGCATATACGTGCAACCTCCGCAGAATGTTACACATATAGCTGATTCTCACAATCCTTATTTCAGCTATAAACTTGAGTAGTTTGATCATCAGAATAAGGAGAACCAGGAAATGAATTCGAAAAATAATATATTCCATGTATTCTCTCCAAATCAATCTATTTGCGGTCTATGTTTTTAGCGATACAAAAAGAAAGAGAAGGAAATATCTGATAGAACAAGCAGTACAAACACTAAATATCATTATCTCTATGCTCTTAGTGATATAACTAGCTAATCCCTTGGGTTTCAAAAGAACAATGATATATTCCTATATTTTTATACTTGTTTGTAACTCCATACATCCTCCCAATACTTTTTCACAAAATTTTAATTGTTTTTTTTTTCCAATATTTACTTTTTTATTTTTATTGAAATACACTATAAATAAAATACCTAGCATGATATTTAAATTATTATTCAATTTTAACATAGTTTTTTAATAATAATGTTATGTGTTTTTATGGGAATATAAAAAAAATACCCTTTTCAATTATTATATGCCTATATGCAAAAAATAACTATTACTTTTTTTTTTTGGTAATTCAAATCATTATAGTTCTGCCAAAGCTTTATTTTCTTTATTATTTTTGCTTTTTATTCAATGAACAATGTTACTAATAAAAAACATTATTGTAAGAAAAAGTTATATAAATAAAAAAACAATTTTGATGGAAAAAAATATATTTATCCTTAATAATTTTATTCATTATTTCTCCAATGAATATCCATTTTTATTATTGTATAATTATATAAGAAAGAATCCAAGAAAAAAAAAGTTATTAAATCATGTCTATCATCTAGGTAACAAGATTAATTGGTTGATCCTGATTCAATTCAAAACATTATTATTTTTAATTTATTTTTAAAATATCAAATAAAGTTTCATTCAAATTAATTGAGTTATAAATACACCCATGAAATTAACCAAATTATATCAAATTGATCCATTCTTATTTTAATTTGAAATCCGATCCAAATCAAATTACAGATAAACTAATCACAACGTTAATTAGTTGGATAAAAATAAGTTTAATGATATTATTAAAAAGTAACGCAAGTACAATTAAAACAACTAAAAATATGGGAGTAGGTTTAACTATTCAATAATTAATTACATTAATATATTTTTTTAATTGATTGATAACATATTTGTTCCATGGATGAATTTGTTGGAGCGCGGGACCATGTTTAAAGGTTGTGGATTGGGTTGTCACTTGGAGTGCTATTTTAATTACATCCATTAAGTTCTTATTAAATTTTATTATTCACGATTGAGATTGATTGTGAGTTAAAATGTGTTAACGGAATCTTGTTTCATATGTCTAGCCATAGATCTTTTATAATCTGGGTGCCCTACCTCCCTAGATACATTCATCTTTTAAAATCAGATGCGATGTAAATTGTTGAGAATTTAAGTACATATGTAACTCGCGCTACTTTATAAATTAATCAATTTTTCTCTGTCAACTTGATTATTTTTCAGTAACATCTAAATAATTGAATTATACAAAAAACAAAGTTGAAAAAGCTTTAAAACCCCTTTGACATAAGCAAAATGTTTTTTTTTTGTCATTTTTAGAATAATTTAGTAATATAATACGCAACAAACATATAAAAATATTAATTAACCATGTTCTTTCTTGTAATGACTAATATGTTTCATGGAAAAAAATTCTCACCCTTAAATCCAAGTTAAATGAGTTTTTTATTTTAAAAAAATAATAATTTTATTGTGTGAATCCACAGTGAAATGTAAGTACGTGAACAGTAAAAAAATGAGTTCTTTGAACTTTTTTGAGGTCATTAACCCACATTAAGTTATTAAGTTACGGGTCGGGTCATTTTTTCTTGAATACGTGAATCCCATACGTGTGCTGCATGACTAAAGAGAAACTTTAGTCAAAAGGGGGCCGACCTTGGGTGGAGGTCGCTGGGCCAAACTGCCTTAGGTGGAGCAGGTTGGGGACTGTTTTGTGCACTTCGACAATAAAGGTAGGGGTGATGGGAGTAAGACAATATGTTGGGTGTCTTGGCTAGTGGACAAGCTAGGGGACAACATGTTTTGGGAGTTTGGATGTCTTGACGATGGGTTGATCAGGATGACATATTCGACAGCCGATACACTGGGTTCAGTTGAGGAGCCAGAATCGTCTTTGAGGATGGTTTGGTGCATTGTTTTGGTGGGAAGGCAGTAGGGGCATTTCTGTGCATCTTGATGATGGATGAATCAGGGTGATGAAGACAGATTACTTGGTCATTGTTAGAAAAGCATGGTTTGGATTTTCGGTGGACGAAACATGTAATAAGGTCTGAAACAGTATGGTGCTGTTGCGTCAATGAAATTTTATGGGGCTGATGAAGTATCTTGGGTTACGACAGCCTATGAAGAACAGGTCAGACGAGTTTTAATGCTAGGTTGCTATATATTGTTTGTTTGAGCAGGTTTAGTTGGGAACTCAACGAAAGAGCTTGAATTTAAGACTTTGTTAATCACTGAATGTGTTGTCTCATTTGATTCTTGCATGTTATGCATATTGAACAGTTAAGGGATAGTACATTCGTGTGGGAGTTCATATGGTGCTTTGAAGTAGTTTCGTATGGTGATGTTGTTTGTGAGAAAAGGGATAGAAGCCTTGAATGCTGGAGGAAGTGTCTAAACTTCATGAAAACAGGTTTGCAGGTTGATGAATTGGCATGTGGGATTACTAACGAATGAGGACAACTTGTGTGTGACTAAGGAAAGTTGCATACGAATTCTAAAGGAGCATGATAGTATGTGACATTGGAGTGTGGAGTGTTGTAGCTTTGTTAGTGTCCATATGAGATTGAGGACATTAATCTTGATAACTTTGAGTGGGACTCGAAGGTTGGTTTACCCTATGGGATACAAACTGGAACCAAGAGAAGGCTTGATCACAGCTTGGTTTTGGTAGGAGTTAACAAAGGGAATGTCAGCTTGGTATCACAAAATCGGTGAAATACATTGATTAGTACTTAAAAGTTCAATTTTTTTAAAGGTTTTATATCATTATTTTGCACTTGAAGTATCAATAATTCTTAACTAAAGCATGTTTTATAATAACAAGTCTGATACTATAGGATACCTTAAATCTATAGTAAATGTTCATCTTAAATGCAGGCCTATCACATAAATTAAATGATTAATTGATGAGTTTAACTACTGAAATTGAGAAAACAAAGAAATCATGAAGTTTAGAAAAGAGATGTTGGTTCAGTTCAAACTAAAATACTATTCAGTCATTGGGTCATATTTAGAGCTGTAGAACTTGGATTTAGTTCTGCTTTATATGGATAAAAAGCTAAGATATAGACCTAAAACTTTTATGGGAGTCCAAAATTTAATTCTGCTATTTAGAAGTCCAAATCTTAGTAACAATGGAGAAGTTGAAATCTATCCTGTAACTCAGATACTATTCAGTATTTAACCCATATCTCAGGTTCTAAAAGTCCAAATGCATCGAATTGTTTTTGGTTGAAAAGTTGAGACAATTTCCTAGAACTTTCATAGGGACAATATGTTTAAATTCTGATGTTAGCAATGATATTTTATTCAAACAAGAAGATAAAGATTGTCACCAAGTCAAGATGTAGCCACCCACTCAACAATTAGTCATTAAATCAATAGTTCTAAATTTTGGCCTATAAAAGTAGGATATTGCACTGCATTTAGGCATCTTGGTTTCTAGATCAATATTATTTCCTTACTTGCTTTCTTTCTTTATAGTTTTAATGTTCTAGTTTTATTTCACATTATAGTTTTATTAATATCTTGTTTATGCCTTTCATTTCCTTTACTATACTTATATAATTATGTTCTCATCTTGTTTATTTATGTTTCTTTTATTCATTATGTTTAGCTAAGTTTATTATGTCAAGGTGAAAAGGTTTTACTAATGGTATTAGGATAAGTTTAATATAAAATGAATATGGACTTCAATGCTTATATCCTAAACAACTTGCTATTAATATGTCTTATCATTTTTATATTATTAATTCTTAATACCTTGGTTGTTAAATGGTTAATTTAGATTTATGTTGGATAACACTTAGTATAATAAATGATTGATCCTTCATAGCTAACCGTATGGTATAACCTACACTTGTGCTATAAAAGAAACTTGATTTGTTATTAACATAAGTTAGCATCATGAATTCCTGATAATATTTAAAACTTTAGTGTTACTTAAATAAGATAATTAATATAATCATGTTGATAATTTATAATGAGCTATTAATGACAAATCATCCGATTGAAACCTTCTTTGTATGTGGTTTCTAGTTGAATAATAAAAAAAGTTTATATTATACTTATTTGCAATACCATTAGTGGATTCTTTAACCTTGATAACTATTTTTATTTAATGTTTAATCTTTACATAATCTTATATCTCAAAGTCCTCCTCCTCATCATCATCATCATTACATCATCATTATTTATATAGTTAACCTCCTCGTGGTTCGACCCTGGTTTTGTCGGGTTATTTATTACTTCGACACTCCTGCACTTAAGAGAAAATATCAATTTTTTGGTCGTGTCAAGCATTTTGGATGAAAAAATGGACGAGACTGAGAGGTTGTGTGTGGGAAATCTTGAATTGTGAAAACTAGTACAAATTTAGGGCAGAGGTGCTTCAGACTTGGTTTGACGAGGATATCGACTTCTTTTTAATGAGGGAGGTTTGTCACACGGTTAAAATTCATCAAGGAGTAGGCTGATGAAAAGTATTGCTGGATAGTAGCTATGAGGTAGCAGCTCGTGTGACAGTAGTAAAAATATGCAGAATATGTGTGCTACAGCACGCAACAGCTAACGCAGCAGTATGCTGATAAGAGTTGGGGGTTTGGACATTGGATTGCCCAAGACTTAACGAAATAGTGCTTGGATGACATAATGGGAAAGTGGAGAATTCAGCAGCACTAATGAGATCGGTAGTGTTGAGGAATTCAACAGCATCTATAAAATCGATAATAGGGGCTGATGATAAGTCTGGACAATAGACAATCCTAGACTTGACATAAACATTACTAATATGAATGATAGCATGCATCAACAGTGGCAACGTGCATGAACGTTGGCAGAGTCGGTAGCAGTATACGTTAACGATTCGGTAAGGCATGAGTTGATGTTCGATAATAAATCCTAACTTCGACAACAAATGGTGCAAGGCATGCAAAACAGTTATGCTGGCAGTGGGTAATTAGTTTGTGGAAGAACATGTCAATGCAGTTGCAGCAATTTTAAGAGCAGTTATCGACAATTATGGCAGTTTCTTATGTGGGGAAGAAGTGGCCAAAACATGAGATAATGGGTGCTCCACCCGTGCTTAGGGGCAGTTTCTACTTGTAACTTTTATTATCTTGTAAATAGATAGGCTGTAAAACATGTAGCATGCAGAAAGCACATAAATATGTATAACACACAAGATGGACTTTGTGTAATCCTTTAGTTAATGAAAAGGTTGGGACATGTTCTTATAATTTGCTGTGTTGTTCATTCTGTTCATATTCCTTTATGTCATTTCGCTTGCTTGTGACATTGAAAGAGTGC